TTAGTCCCAAGGCTCATAAATACTAAACAAAATGCTTGCTTTACTTTTGTTAGAGCTTGGTAAATTAAAGGTAATGTTACCATCAAGGAAAGTGATCCCTTTCCCTGGATAAGAGCTTTTCTTTGATTCTAAGGAGAACTATGGATCCTTGTAGAAGAGGGAAGTCTGAAGTTTTGCATGAGAACTTCTTTCGGCTGATCCTGGGTTTCCATATTGAGTTTCCAAGGCTATGAAACTCCATTAGGATCATCCTTACTCCCAAGACAGTAACCAAAATAAGAAGTTACACTCTTTAACAACCCTGAAGTTGTTGTTCAACCAGTTGAACAGGAAAAGGGTTCAAAATTTATTGCAGAATTAACTACATCCACCTTTGTATAGCTGCCTAATAGTTTGTGAAAATGTATGCATAAACAATGGCAGGAGAATAAAATAAGGTTCCGTCTATTGTGGTTTGGAAGCGTCAGATAATGACCAATAGCAAAAGAAGCTAAGAGATGTTCTTTGACATGATAGGGGGAAATCAAACGCTCAAAGTAAACAAAATGATAACTGCTTTCCAGTAGAAAGCTCACTATAGGGAGAATAGAAGGATACAGTGTGGAGGGGGATAGGGGGACACTGGGACAATGATAGACAGAGGTGGACGCTATGGTAAAGGGTGTGGTGCTGGAATGTTTTTGTTGCTTTGGGGCCACGCCTGGTGGTGCTCAGGGCTTAGTAATTGAACTAAGGGATCACTCCTAGCAGCTTTGAAAGCCTATATGGATAGCCCGGGTAGACCACATGCAAGGCAAATGCCCAATATGTTGTACTATAACTCTGGCCCTGGTGCTGGAATTTTTTTTTGTATGAAACCATACCAATCTCAGGGCTGGAGCGATAGCACAGAGGTAGGGCAGTTGCCTTGCACGCAGCCAACATGGCCGACCCGAGTTCAATTCCTCCGCCCCTCTCGGAGAGCCCGGCAAACTACCAAGAGAATCTCGCCCACAGGGCAGAACCTGGCAAGCTCCCCGTGAAGTATTCGATATGCCAAACACAGTAACAACAAAGTCTCCAATGGAGATGTTACTGGGCCCGCTCGAGCAAATCGATGATCAATGGGAGGGCCTTTACTTTTACTTTACTTTGTAACAACATTGCTCAAAATAGAATATATAGAGAGAGGTTCTTTGAAAAGTAGATGCCAAAGAAACATCTCTGAGGGAATCTGCTGCAGAAGACAATGACTGCTATCACCAGATTCTCTAGATCAATATAGGTGAACATCACTGATATGAGGTGAGCACTAATGTCAACCTTCTCCTAAGCCCTAGGCACCCGTGAGCTACCTCTTTCACACAGGGTCTCATTGTGTGGGACAATTAGGGAAGGTCCCACAATCCAGGAGCAGAGCCCATTCTGAGAAGGGGTGACCCTTCAAAAATCACATGTGCATTATCTTAGAACAAAACACAGTTCAAAACGTCTTCATTTTCCTTGGACGGAATATGAGAAGAGCCAGTTCGAGGGAGTTGAACTCCATTGTACACATTCAGAATTCTTGCAAAAGGACCCGGGAATCTCAGTGCCCGGTCATGCAGGTTTCTGTGGCAGCCAATCCATGCTGGTGGCCGTGACTCTCAGGGCCACTCCCACAGATGGTAACACTACTTTCTAAGTGAGCTCAACAGAAATTTTAAATGAGTGTTGCCTCCTACTCTGCACGATTGATTTTCTCCTTTATATTTTTTAAAAGAGTAATGGGTCAAAACTGCTATTTTGGGCTGTCTTTACAGATAACTTTAAAAACATTAGTGTATGGTTGGGCTGGAGTGATAGCACAGCCGTAGGGCATTTGCCTTGCATGCAGCCAGCCCCTGTCCTTCCCCATCTTATTCATTGCCAACTCTTGTTTACTAAAACTCCTTACTGAGTGCTCTGGCTCTAGCAGTTTTATTAATCAGAGCTTCATATAATCAACAGGTTTGAGAACATGATGGTCACGGTCACGGTCCTCCCATTGTTCATCGATTTGCTCGAGCGGGCCCAGTAACATCTCCATCGTGAGACTTGTTGTTACTGTGTTTGGCATATCAAATACAGCACGGGTAGCTTGCCAGGCTTTGCTGTACAGGTGAGATACTCTCGGTAGCTTGCTGGGCTCTTCGAAAGGGGCGGAGGAATCGAACTCAGGTCAGTCATGTTGGCCACTTGCAAGGCAAATGCCCTCCCACTGTGCTATCACTCCAGCCCTGAGAACATGACATCAAATTTAATTTTAAAAAAATATAGATTTTTAAGAAAAAATTGTAAAGTCTATAATGTTCTGCTTCTACAGGATTCATCAGAGATGGACGCCTGGGATCAAAAGTAAAATAGGTTGTGTCTGCAGTTTGGAGAAAAACAATTAGGATTCTGAAGGCAGATTGGGAGGTAATTGGGCTCCCTTTGTTTTCCATGTGCTGTGGATTTAACAACTAACATCCTAACTTACCCTAATGGTTTCCCAGCAAACTGTGATTGATTCCACTTTAAAGATGAGGAACTTGAGGTCCAGCAATATTTAGGAATGTGCTCAAGGATGCATAAAGCAATAAATTTAAGACTTGAGTCTGGCTTTGCATGACTGCAAAGCCCAGGTTCTCAGCAAAGTCATTGTGCCTCTAACAACCAGCAGGGCTGGGCAAGTTTAGGTTCTAGTAGAAATGGCTCACAATTTCTGGCACTCTGCGCCCAAATGCCAATAGGTCAGGCAACAGAAATGAGTAATGTGGGGTAAGAAATATTAGGGAATGTGGGGTAAGAGATATTAGGGAATGTGGGGTAAGAGATATTAGGGAAAAGGAGAAACTGGGAATTTTCTTAGTTAAACTGGTATGTCAGGCCATATTTTGATTAATAGGAGTGGCAGTAACCTATTCATCCACACTAATATTACATTCACAACAATTTTCAAAAGAAAGTGAAAAATCTTAATTTCATGTGAAAGCTTTTCATTTTTGGAAAAATGGGTCACTAATTCATTTGAACTCTCTATGAGCCAAATTAAACATTCTGAGAACTATTTCACATTTTCAGGTTTAAACAGAGCTCTACATGAGGGTTCATGAAGAAATTCTGAAAAATCTTTGTCTTCTTTATTCCAGCCTGAGAACAGAAGGTTATGAGAACAGAACAGAGAGCTTAATGAATATATGTGCGACAGAAATCAATGAATTCACAAATCAACAACTTGCAGAGATATCGGAAGTATCAATCACTGGCTCTCCAACACAGTCATTTAATCACAACCAGGGCTATACAAATAGATAGGAAAAATAGTTCCCAGGACCAGACACTCAGTAAGACCTGGACCCTTGTGCATTCCCAGTGAATTATGAAAGGAGTTTGGGGAAAGCTCACATTTCCTTTCATCAAACAAAGCTGATGTAAGAGTAACACAAAGATACCACCCAGAAACTGAGGTGAGCAGGCCAGGGAGAATAAGGAATAGGAAGCCTAAGCCATCTCTCTTAATCAACTTCTTCCTTTCCAATTCAGTCCCTATGCTCCTCTTTTTTTTTTCCCTTTATTTTATTTTATTTTTTTAAAGTTGTAGATTTACAATTTTTTGTGCTTTGGTTTCAATTATACAATGATCAGATACCCATCCCTCCACCAGTGCCCATTTTCAACCACCATGGATAATATCCCTCCCACCCCCATCCCCCCATCCCCCCTGTCTCTGTGGCAGGGCAATCCCCTGTGTTCTCTCTCTCCTTTTGGGTGTTGTGGTCTGCAAAAGAGGCATTGAGTGGCAAACATGTTCAGTCCATAGTCTACTTTCGACATGCATCTCCCCTCCTGGGAGGATCCTCCAAACATACTTTATTTGGTGCTCCCTTCTCTATCTGAACTGCCCTTTCCTCTAGGATACCTGGCTGGCCTCTAAGTTATGGAGTAATCCTCCTGGTGCTGATCTCAGCTATTCTTGGGTATTAATCTCATACTTTGTTACTTTATATCCCCCAGATGAATGCAATCTTTCTATGTCTATCCCTCTCTTTCTGACTCATTTCGCTTAGCATGATCCCTATGCTCCTCTTAATCTGTGGAAATGGTTGAACAGGTTCTGGGTCTAAAACGTGGGGGGAAATAATGAGTAAATGAACTCTAAGTTATTCAACAATTTTTATAAAAAGACATGCCCACATATTCTGTGTATCCTATAAAAATTATGCCAAGAAAATTCTGGGTCATCTTTGGGAATTCTTATACATATCTGTTCAGTATATTAGATGAAACATATTCACAAAGAAAAATTTCCCAATGAAAACCTACATAAGTCAATCCTCCCCATCCCAGTCTCTTTTCAAAAGTACTAAGTATCTCGTACTGTGTTTTTAGTATAGGTATATTGCTTATTGATAATTTGGGGTTACCCAAATCATTAAGTGAACCCTTCACTTAAAAATCGTTTCAGTTCTACAACTAGCCATCACTATCTCCAACCACAAGGCAGATCTCACTGTCAGAGCTTTTTTCCAAACCAACACAGGAAGTAACCTTGCACCCAAGATATTACCTAATATCCATCACTAATGAACTAGATGACCAGTCCAGTACACAGAATGAACTTCATTCATGTACCCTGTGGAGGAAGCATTACTCTGGAGGTCCCCATAGACTCTACCTTGGTTTGCATCACCAGCACAACTTCATTCACTGATTCCTCCTGGCTCTGACGCTTGGCATTACCAGCACTTGAAGTTGCAGCCAACCCTGAACACCCATGACAGTACAATATTTTTTTAACTAAAAGGACAATGTTACTAAGTAGTTAACAGACTATTCTTTCCAAACCCTTGCTCACCCTAGAGATTAGCCTCACTCGACATCTTCATTAACCAGCACCAAGACTCCCTCTAAGAAAGCACTCTAAGATCCCTTGTGATGATTAGAAAAACACCAACCGCAACTTCCAGTGATCCAGAAGCATTGTGGCATCTTAGAGTTTCAGATATAGGAATACCAACCTTTAGGAACAGTGGAAGAAGATTCAACAGGTTCTTCTGACGCTCTGTTGGGTTCCTGTAAGCAAACTGTCGATAGTCCAGAAACTCCCTTTCTAGCTTCTCCCAGAGAGCCATGGGGCTGGGAGACTGCCCTCCAGGTGAGAATTCAGGCAGAGCAACATCAGGTTGGCTATTGTTTTTGGAACTTGAATCCTCTGCTCTGTCCTCCACTCCATCGTCAGCCTTCAGAACGCCTTCTGCCTCCATGCCTTAGCAAAGCCGATCTGAATCCTGAACAAAGCAAAAGTAAAAAGCTCTGTCTCCACACTTCTTGAAGACTTTGGTTGTGATACGAGGTGCTGCATGCATTCAAGCCAGTTCCTATTGAAGATGCTTCCCCTAAGAATCTGAAAGTGACTGAAATAAGGAAGACTTTTTAAAAATAGAATCAAATTTAGATGTGACTCACACGTGTTAATAACCCAATGGGAGCCAGGCACTGTGCTGGGTTATTTACCCTGACTCTTATAATAGAGAGGGGCAGTTTGATTTTCACTCCATTCATAAGGAAACTGAGTGGGCCAAAGGCAGTTAAACTCCAGTTGATACCTAAACCTTTACCAACGAAGTCTGGATTTTTATTTCATGATGCTAATCATCTTTTAAAGGGGTTAGTAAAGAGAACAGATCCATGTAAATGTCTTCGCAATGAGTAACAACTTGCCTATGAGTAGGGAATGTAATTTTTTATCTTCCCTTAATATTTTCTTCTAACTCAAAGGATATAGGCTCTACACTAAGCATTACTTGGTTCACACAGTATTTTTTTAAAGACTCTATCCTCAGAATGCTCTTTAAATCCCCATGCTAATGTTAGCAGCTCTTTTATTAGTGTACCCAGGAACAACAGAATATTATGTCAGAGGTCTTAAGGCCATGAAGTCAGGCAATAAAACTAGTCAAAGACTAATTTGACAGATAGGTAACTGAAAATGGGCATTTTTTGAAGGGTTTTTGTCATTTTTCAATTGGCATGCTCTTTAGGTGACCAACAGAATCACAGCACAACAAAGATTTGTCATTTGTTAGCTATAAATGCAAGAAAATCTTTAGGACTAGAATATTCAAGCTCCTAGCAAGAAGCACTCTGTAACTGTAGTGTCCCCATATAGGAATCCAACCTAGAATCTGAGCAGATGACAATCTTACCCATAACCAGGGGGAAACTACACAGATGACACACAGATCTACCAGATGGATCTACCAGGCCTTTGCTCTGAAATACAACTACTCAGGGAATACCCCATACTTTATTTTTATCCCCAACACCCATTTCTACCAAGAAAAAAGAATGGGAGTTAGTTAACAATCAAAACACCCATATTTCAGTTACCAATCTGTCAAATCAGTCTATCCCCAGTATGAAATCTTCTCACTAGTTAGACACAGACTTGTGTGTTCAAACACCTCTCCTATCGCCTATTCAACTCCATTTTCAGAAATCATAGTAATGCCTGGAGAGGTAGTATAGTGGTAGAGCATTTGCCTTGCACATGGCCAACCCAGGTTTGATCTCCAACATTCCATATGGTCTCCTGAGCAGCCCCAGGAGTAATTCCTGAATGCAGAGCCAGGAGTAACCCCTAGAAAACTCAGAATATAACCCAAAAGTCAAAAAATATTAAAAAGTCTGTCCAGTTACAAAAGCTAGGTAAGTTCATTGTCCAAAATTGGGGAGGAACAAAAGATTAGGAAGAATATCAAGCCTGCTGTACCCAGAAAAATGACTTAATAATCTGGCTAAATGTTTTTTGTTTTTATATCATTTCACTTAAAAAAACACTTGGGATCTGAGGACATTTGTCCATGGGAAAATGCATACCTTGCATGCATAAAGCCTGGATATTTATCCCTGGCACTGAAAACTGAAAACACACACACACACACACACACACACACACACACACACACACACATTCCCTCTTTCACTCACTAATTTGCTGCAACAAACTTTTATTTACATTTTTGTTTGTTGGTTGGTTGTCCAGGATTTGAAGGGAATTTGATTTGTTTCCTTCTTAAGGTTGACCTGCAGAGGCAGAAGAGGGGTTCTCCACACTCCTCAGTTCCACTGCGCCCTCTTCTCTGGCCCAGGCTCCCATTTGGTTTTGTAGCTTGTTTAGTTTCCCTTTGGTCCATTTCCTTTTCTTCCCTATCCTCCCCAACACATCTATTAATAGGATGTAACCTTCTGAACTAAGGTCATGATGCATGATTTCTGGATATTTGGGCGTTTGGGGAATGGCATTCAGAGATTGAACCCAGAGCCTCATGCATGAGAGGCATGTACTCAACCTTTGTGAGCTACATCCCCACCCTGGTACATGATTTCTGAGTGTATGAGGTTTAAGTTCCCTCGAATGCTCTTCTGTGTCTTTTCTGCAGCATACTAATTTGCTGAGCATTTTACTCTGCCTTCAGATGTAACCATGTGGCTCTGTGTTTACCAATTGCCATTTCCACTGTTGGGCCCTGCTACAGCAGGCGTCATGTGCATGCTTCAATAGTTTACTCTGCAGTGCCCAGCAGCTACATCAACCATAACTTTCCAGTCCTGCCCTTGAATCTCTCCTGGACATTCCCACGTAGATCCCCTCACGGGGCTGTGGGTAACTAGCTCTACATACGATCACAAGAGTAGGAGGGCTGAGTAAAGGATATATAACTCCTCTGTTCAACTGAGCTTCAGGAAATAAGATACTTTCAGAGAACTGCCACCAGACCCCCTTATCCCCTCACTTCCACCCCTTCTTGTCATCACCCAGCATGCCAACATGTGCTAATTTGATTTAAGTCAAGTGATCCTTCATTGTCATTTTAATTTACGTTTCTCTTACTAATGAGTCTGAGCATCTCTTTATAGGTCCGTTAGCCCTTTGGATTTCCTCTTTTGAAAACTCTCTGTACCCTTGGCTTATTTTTTCTTTCCTGTCTTTTTCCTATTGCTTTGCGAAGTGTGCATTCTAAAAACTGGTCCCTAGTTGACTTTAAAAATTGCAAATGTTTTCCCTCAATCTATTTTTCTTATAAATTAGTTCATAACTTTTCTTTTATGTCATGAAAACATATAATGAATATTTTCCATGTCATTAAAGATCCACGATGTGCTCACTTCTAATAGCTGTGCGGTGGCCATAATGCCATGAATGAGCTTAATCACTAATTAGTTAATTCCCTTTACTTAAGCATTCGAGCATTTTCCAATTCTTCACTTCCATCGCCAATACTGTAACAAATGACCTTGTATCTAAACTTTTCTATATCTTCATTATGAAGCATCAAACTGTCACACACTCTTACATTTCTAAAACAAGAGCTGGACCTAAAGGTAGTTATAGCTTTCAACTTCTTGACACATTTCCAAACAACTATCAACATCAATGTATAGTGTTTCTGCAAGCAGGTTAGAATAGCTTAACACCTTTTTCCTTTCATTCTGGAGCGATAGCACAGCGGTAGGGCATTTGCCTTGCACGCAGCCAGCATGGCCAACCCGAGTTCGGTTCCTCCGCCCCTCTCGGAGAGCCCGGCAAGCTACCGAGAGTATCTCACCCGCACGGCAGAGCCTGGCAAGCTCCCCGTGACGTATTCGATATGCCAGACACAGTAACAACAAAGTCTCCAATGGAGACGTTACTGGGCCCGCTCGAGCAAATCAATGATCAATGGGAGGGCCTTTACTTTTACTTTTTACTCTTGCTGATTTATGAGATAAATCTCAGCAGCGTCTCTGTGGTTCCTCACTATGTATTTGGTGGTAATAGGTTTCTGTCAGTATCCTGCAGTAAATTAATTGATTGATTATTCAATGTATTAATCCATTAATTAATTAAACGTCCCCCCCAAAAAAATATAAACAGCTCCTCTGTTTTTCTCCAATCTGTGAATTAGAGCTGAGTGCATTTTTCACAAAAGTCAACAAGTTCAGCAAATACCACCTCCAAGCCTGGGGCTTCTGCAGATTCTGCTCTGATTTTCTTCAGACATGGGCCAGGTACACTCTGGACCAAGAATGCTCTGGTTTGATGTGGTTTGGATGTTTCACTTCCACCATGGAGACCCAAGCCTGTCTCAGAGTCCTCAAGTGCAAAAAGGGAGCAGGGCTCCGTGGGGTTGGGGAAGTGGTGATGCCAGCTGAGTGAATGCTTCTAGCATGCCTCATTGTCATAGGGCAAAACATAGCTAGCAGGGTGCAGGCATGGTGAATGCCGCTTCACCTTCGCATCCTCTAGCCATGTCAGAGGTAGTTCTGGAGCTCAAAGCAGGGGTCTCCTGGGTCTCAAAGTCTAGGTTTATTGCCAGGTGGTGGTCAAAGCCAGACACACTGCAGATCGGCCTGTCATTACTGAATTTGCTGCCAGAGCCCCTTATGTGACTGGTACCTAGGACATAGAGCTCCTACAAGGCCTTCCTGGGAGAGAGGGGCTGTGAAGGCTGCAGGAGTGCTCAGTGCCCTAGAAAGGCTTTTTAGAAAGGCATAATTTAGAGGCAGAGTGGAGGGGAAAGGCACCTTAGCATGGCTGAACACCAGAGGCAGGAGTACTGGGGTCTCCAGGGTAAGAGGAGACTCCCTCCTTGTAGGGTAGGGTTAAACAGAGCACGTGACACTCCAGCCCAGTTTCATTCATTGCACCTTCAGCTGTCAACCAGGCCAACTAGAAGCCCCGCAGCCTGTGGGAGCTGCATCCAAACCTGCCAGTTCCAGCAGCCCTGAGGCAGCAGACAGTGGTGGAGCCTGGTTAGGGGGCATATCCAAAAGAACAAAAGCAACCAGTGTTGGCACGGATGTGGCGAGAAAGGGACCCTCCTTCACTGCTGGTGAGAATGCCAACTGGTTCAGCCTTTTTGGAAAACAGTATGGATGATTCTCAAAAAATTAGAAATTGAACTCCCATTTGACTCAGCAATACCATTCCTCGGAATATATCCCAGAGAGGCAAAAAAGTATAGTTCAAGTGACATCTGCACTTGTTTGTTCATTGCAGCACTCTTTACAATAGCCAGAATCTGGGAAAAAACCTGAGTGCCCGAGAATAGATGACTGATTAAACAAACTTTGGTACATCTACACAATGGAGTACTTTGTAGCTGTTAGAAAAGATGAAGTCATGAAATTTACATACAAGTGGTACTACATGGAAAGTATCATGCTAAGCGAAATGAGTCAGAAAGAGAGGGACAGACATAGAAAGATTGCATTCATCTGG